GGTTGGGGTGGAGTTTTTTTTTTTTTTTTTTTTTTTCATTTTAAATAGAGATTCAACTTCTTTGCTGCATGAAAAGCATAAAGCTTTTCCTCCGCAAAATTAAGCTCTCTCAACGTGGTATGAGATTGTGGAGGGCTTATAGGTAAACCTGTTCCTTCCAAGTGATGTATATTACTGTGCAAGTATGGACGCTTAATTTTTTCTATAAAGTTGAAACTCATGAAAGCCCTATGCACTGGCTCCACTGGAAGATTAACAAAAAATTATTGATGGCAGCAAAAATGACCAGTTTTGATTGTTGCAAGCTCTGGCTGCCATCCCTGAGATTCTCAGTGGGAAACACATGTGTCTTTGCTTACAACATTTCAGTGAAAACTGTTCTCTCCCTGTGGCAGAATAAGATCAAGCTGTTTTCAGCAATGATGGTGGCCCTTGACACTATGTGAGGCCATCATGTTGTAGCGTATTGTAGTGTAGAAGAATCGCCCTTCTTTCTCCAATCCCAGTGAAAGCGCCTTTATTAAAGAATGTGATGAAGTCATAAGAATTATGAACTATCAGTTTGAGAAATTGGTCATGTACTTGTTTTCTGATGTTCTTATAGATCTGCGCTCCCAAATTGAAGAAACTGGCCAAAGACTTTCAGTAAAGCAGAGTGAGAGGGATTATTGGTTGGAGTACAAAAATGTAGGCAGTAAAATACAGGCCAACAAGATTATGAATCTGGAAAAAGACATCAAGGAAGTCAAAGATGACCTTCACAAGGCTACAGGTCAGTTTACAGCTAGTGTAATGCAAGTCCTACAAGTTATTTCTGTATTACTTCTGGGAATTAATTAAATTATAAATTTAGTTTAATGTCAAGTTATAGTAACGTGTATCAACTTTTCCAAGACAGTGCACCCAAACTAGGCTGCATAATCCTATAAAACGGAAGAACTCTATCTCCACGGAAGTCCCTTTATTAGAGAGTCTTTTGAAGTTGCAGAAATTATGAACACTTAAAGAAACCGATAACCTTGTCTTCTGATGATTTTCTTGTAAAATATAGGCAACTCATATTTTAAAAATGTTACTGTGAAGGACAGCAGTTTTCTAAAAATAAGTCTACATGTATTTAGGTCGCCTACACACAGGTCTCCCTTAGCAGTTGTACTTGACAATGTTGACTCTGCTCTTGTTGCTTCTCATCATGCTACAAGCACTTCACATGTTGAAAACTCCTTTGACAGGAAAGTAGTATGAGCTCATTCTTGGAACAGAGTCTTTTGAATTGAGCATATTGGTTTAAATGCAGGACTGGAGGGAGCTGTTTAGCCAGGGGTCTGAACTTTGCCTCCTAGTTGCGTAGTCTGGTGTATGAGGCCCTGCAAAATTGCCAGCACAGACATATACAAATACTGGGAACTGTTTTGATACTGACACAGCAGTGGAATTAATTTGAGAGCTTATGTATTCTGATGCTGAGTGCTTTACAAAGATTTCTTTACGACTGCATTATTTTAAAATCATTTAAATATTTTTCTGTTACATAACCCATGCTTCTAACAGGGGAAAGATGTCCTGGTTTTCTTCCTTTATGTCCCTCTCAGTATGCATGGCCATAGCCAAGCAGCTGGTAGTAACAGGCAGTGACACTGCTCTAAGGGTCTCTGTATATTCTGTGCCAACCATTACCAGGCATCAACTACTGTGGATAAGAGCCAGCTAGCTATCTTTTTGTCTCTTGAGACATATTTTATCACAATTAAGATCTGCACTGTGTTTTCCTGCGTTGCCAGATAGCTTGTCAGATATCCATCTCTGTATTCAGGAGAGGTTGAAATTTTTCATTATGCATCTTCTGTGTTCTTAGTCAATTTAAAATATTGCTATACAGCTGCTGAAATATGAAATGAAAAAGAGAATGGGCTTTTATACAGAATGCCGTTATACAGAATGGGCCAGTAGGAACATTCAGTCTGACCTCCGGCATGTCACAGGGTACAGAGCCAAAAATTTGCAGTCGAACGGAAGTGTATTTGCAGAAAGACTGTTACAGAGGTGCATATAGCAGTTGCCTAATTAATGTACTGCAAAATGATGCTGCCAGTACTGGATGTTAGCATACTATTCTACTCCCTAAAATCAAACTTATGAAGTGGCTAGGCAGTACAGTCTTCCAGCCTACAACAACAACAAAAAAATCTAACGTGCTTCCAGAGTGATGCTGCCCCAAATTGGGCTTGTTCACTCCTCAAATGTGTAACAAACAGGCTTAGGGAATAAACATAGGCGAAGAGGTTTCTGTAGGTACCACTGAAGGGCTTGACGCTGGCACAGTTAGTGTAATCTGGAGATGACATTTTAAACAAAATTGCTGGAGGGGAGAGGAAGCAAAAGAGAGCCACACACTTACATGAGGCCTGGGGAAAACAGTGTTGCAGTGAGAGGCAGGGAAAATAGCCTCCTTAGAAACAGGAAGTATGTCTGAACAGTTCCGCCTTTTCTTCATTCTCCCAGTACAACTCAGGTTGTTTAGCTGTCTGAAAGAATGAAAAGATGAAATAATTATAGTATGTGAGTACTTCCATTTCATTCTGCCAAGTCTAGATGGTGCATTGGTTAAGGCAGGCCAGCTTCCACAAATTAAGAACTAATGCACAACTAATGCACCTTTCATATTTGACGGCCTTTGACTCCGCAGTGGGTCCATGACCAGGTACTCATTTACAGCCAGATCAGCAACAGGCTGCCTGCAACACAAGTGCAGAGCTAGGCTGAATTTCAAGCCTCTGAAACAAGTATGAAGTGCCTTCCTTCAAAGAAAATTATTACAATCTCATTCATTCCTTCAAAAGGAGAAAATACCAGGCAGCAGTGGACTATTTAGAATAGCACAAAAACAGCTGAAGGGGAAGGATGAAATAATTAAATAGCAAGTGCCTAGAACTTGAAGCCAAACAAATTCAGTCAGGCATAAGACACCCTTTCTGAATAATGACGACAAGTAACGATGAAAGCAAGTCATTGAGGCAATTGCCTCATTCTCCATTTTGTCCTATTGTCAAATTAGAACCCCCTGGAAGGCTTAGATAAGTCAGAATTAGGCTCTGTATAATAACTGCCTGAAAAAAACATCATGTGCATAAGATGATCCAATATGCTGCTATACCTAAAAAATATGTTTTCTAAGCAAATCTCTCACATGACTCCAGGAGCTCTGCTATTGATAGAGATAAAATTTAGTGTTAAGATACCAATATTTTAGCAGAGAATTGCTCGGTTTACTAGCTGTTGTAGCTGCCAACAGAAACGTGTAAGCCACTTCAGATATCTAGTTTTGTAGTTAACACTACTGTCCTTTGGGTTTAGGAGGACAACTTCTATGGAGAAGGACGTTTGAATCCTTTTCTGCCGAGCATCTATGCATGTGATGCTGGCTGATCAGTTCCAGTTTAGGAACAACATGCCAATTATCTGTTTGTTGTAAGTAGCGATTTATGTCAGATAATGATTTCTGATTTTCTTTTTTGTTTTGAAGAACATTATAGAAATGCTTTGGAAGCTGTGAAAGAAGAAAATGACAGACTGGTTGAGAAACACATGAAGTTAAGTATGGAACAGGCCCCTGAGGTATTCTTTCTGCCTTTTTTTAAAGTGCTAACTGCATCATAGTTAAGATTCATGTACTCTGCATTAGTAATTATTTTAACTCGAATTAAGACTTGAAACTTGTCTAATAAATTGAAAGTAAAATAAACTGTACATCTTTTTACTAAACATGGCATTGGTTATTGCTAGATACACATGTACTTTTTGTTTTTTACATCAGACTAACAATGAGTAGATGTGAGGGCATTTTACAAATGAGGTATGGGAAACTGGGCCACCATGCACTGATACGACTTGTTCAAGAACATGCCACTTTTACTGTGACCTTGATTTTGACATTTGCATAGACTTCAAAACAATAACACACTAAGAGATTGTCTGCATGGAAATATACATCAATTTGACCAAAAAAAATGTTGTTTTGTACTTGTAAAGTACAGCATTTTTAAAATGTCAAAACAGTGCAGCCTACAGTAAAATTTAGGCTTATTGATATAGAGATTTTTTTGTTATCTCTGCCAGCTCTGATTTGCAAACGTGATTTACAAAGTATTTGTGGTGACGACTTCTTACACTCACAAAATGCAAAGCATACTTCAGTACAAAGCACTGGTTGGTTAAATTCCTTGACTTCAGTGCTGGGATTTTCAGTCATATGAGAACACAGTCCAAAGGACTGTGGTTATGGTGATCTACAGGGGCATCTTCCCTCCCGGTTGTTCCTTTCCTCTTACTGACATCAATAACTAAATTGTAGCCTCGTCTCGTTCGCATAGACCATGTTTAAGTCACTCGTCATAGATCAGTACTGCCTCATTTGTCATTTTGCTTGGATTTTTTAGTAGCTAAAGGTTTGATTTCCTGAAAACAGGAAGATTTGAGCAGTAGTGGGAATGTAGCAGAACCTGTTAGGCAAAAAGAAAATGTCTTATTTTAATATGGGAAATTATAAGATATTGGTAAATTGCTTGACATATAAACTGCACTAGGCAGGATAATGGCGAAGAAACAGCTGGCCATGTGGACTAAATCCCCCTTGTAATCCCTCAGGGGATGCTACAGTCTGTTGTGTGGATGTTCCTTAATTATTTCCTGCTAAACAGCAGAAGGTTCTTCTTTATAGTGTGCAGCACTGTCAAAGTCCTGCTTTCAGATGAGATCATCTTAAATTGTGTTTTCCCAGAAAGCCGTAAGATGCTTAGACAAAAACAGTCGCAGAGAAATTGAAGAGAATAAATGGCTAAAAGAAGAGGTAAGAGGATCACTTGCGTAGTTTATCACGGTAGTTCAGGTTTGAAATACCATGGCTTACAGTCATAACTGTTTCCAGTGAGGGGCCTCTGAAGACTTCCATAGAAAAGGAGAGCAATTTTCCTGTAATTAATCTGTAATCCTGAGTAGCAAACAGTGTATGTGGTGAAAAAAGGTAAAAGGTGAACATCTGCTTTCACAAATGAAGGACCCCTTTTCCTGCCCAAGCAGTTATATGAGGGACTACAACATTCCATACAATTAAGTATTTGTATCTATGGAGACTGGGGAGAGGGATACTACGCAGTGTAAAGGCTCAACCATGTAAGTATCTATCATCTGAAGAGTGTAGTTTTGAATTGCTTCGAAGTTCTAGTGCTGCCGTATTGAAAGAAAATGGATATGGATGTTGGAAACATTTTTGGAGAAAGCTTTAAATGGGAGATAATAAAGAAACCCTGGAGATCAGTACACTAAAGAGAGGAAAATCAAAATCATATATAGTTGTAATTGATTACTTGATAGCTTTTATACTGCCCTTTAATGGCATTTTAGAGCTATATGTTAGATAGTTGTAACTTTTCTTGTCAAGAAAAAAATTTTTTGTGAGCCGAAGTCAGGAAACTGATTTTTCCATGGTGGAAGTTTGATTGTGTTTGTTCCAATCAGTACAGGTTCTTTGTTGCGGTCAAATCTAAGCAAGAGATTGGAGAGAGGAAATACCCTTTCCCTCCTTTACAATCTCACAGTTCAGAACTGAGCAAAACTTTTTGCAAAAGTAATAAATGAACTTATTATTTTTCAGTGCCACATCAACAAACCTGGCAGAGGTTTCTCCCTTTTAATTACTAGTTTAAGATACTTGCCATATGCAGGGATATGGCTTTCCTTCTTCCCCTTAATGAGCTCTGAGCCTACATCTTTAACTTTCCGGGGAGGGTGTCCAAACCACAGCTTCTGAGGCAATGAGGTGGGGGTCAATAGGAAAGAATTAATGTTTTAATCTGTATAAACAAATAGGAGCTCGAATCTATACATCCTGTCACTGAATGAGTAGGAATTCCATTCCCATCTCCCTGTCTCACTGAACGCTTATGAATTTTACACGCATTAGGCAGTGTCAATGAGGGAGATCCATTTTGGAGGGCCTGACAGGCCCTCACCTCAGAGTTGAGGGATTTGGGTTTTTCTTCTCTCAACTAGAAGTTTCCTGTGTTAGGAATTAGTTTCCTATGTTACTAGTTTCCCCTGTTATGAATTAGTGCTTTGAATTATTGTGGAAAACAGAACTATTATCACTAACTTCTCCAGTCCTCTGAATTGACTCATTCATTTTCTCTGCTTTTCTTATACAGATGAAATATTTTCTTTCAGGCTAATGTTTATATATCTGTCAGCTAAAAGATTCTTCCAGTATTTTCTTTTGGCGAGTTAAACCAAAAATTTCAGTTTTGTCCCGGTTCAAAATTTATCATTTTTTCAGTTTGACCACTGAACTGAAAAATGACTTACCAAAACAGGCCTAAAATAGTTACCTCCAAATGTGAACAGATTTGGAGACTTCGGTCACATTTTTCCATGGTTACTTTGTCACACCGAGATGGTACAAAGGTGCATCACCTCATCGTGCCAAGCCACATCCTGTTGCTGGTTAATGTCCTGTCATTTTCACCTTTTTTAATCCCTGGGAGAAATGGGAACTAGTTTTTAACTACAAATTTGGATGACTATAGCTGGGTTAATTTGTCTTCGGTGAGAACAGATGCATTCAGATCACTAGGTACTGTTTTTAAACAACACGTGCACATGGCTAAGATTTCTGGGAAGGTATCCGTCCCATAGTACATTCCACTTCCCAGTGAAGGGGTAAGAACTTGCTTGTACTTCCGGAAAAGTGAGAGGAATTGTGGGAACCGAAGAACTGGTATCCTTTGGTTAATGTAACTTCATGGCAATATGGGGCAATTACCAGTCCAAAAGAAAGCAGAACCTGGGGTTCAGCCAATGTCATGGCTACCTTGGACTGAAAGCCTCACTAGTTCTGGGTGAGAAGGTTTTGTGTTTAGGCAGGAATTAGAAAAGCAACACTTGCTGAGCAAGAGCCTGAATTTAACTCTACAAAGAAGATTTTTCTCTCTCAAAGCTTTGATGTGAAAGCAAAAAAAAAAACAAAAAAAAATCCAGAGCTTCTGTTTACCAGCCCTGTTTGGCTACATGAGAAGGTTCTGCTGTCAGGGTTGCACAGCCCAGATGTGTGGCTGTGACTGACAGAGCTGTGCCAGTAAAGGGTTCTAATAAAGGTGCGAAAGAACCAGAGAGGCCTTCCCTTTGCCTGAAAACGTGTCACTGTTTCTTCTCCAAATGCGCAGTCTTGCTGGTACAACTGCATTCTTTCTAAGTATGTGCTATTAAGATAGTTACTGTGAAAGCTTTCCAAAATGGGTATGGTCTTTCCAAGATGATCCTTTTTTTTTTTTTTTTTAATTTTAAAAAGGTTAAGGGGGAACAAAAGG